CCAACACGGATGTGGGAGGCCGCCATCCAAAGCTGCCCGCATACATTGCAATCACCATCTGAACAACCGGACAAAATTGATGCAAACATGGTCGGATTTTCATACAAACCAAACAATATTAATGCAAACACAGCGGCTTTTCGTTAGATTTCATATAAACATGACGGAATTCATTACATCTCAGACATATACAGTTCAACTAAAAGTGGTGCTCGTCTTACTCTAGAGGTATAAGACCTAAACTAAAAGATCGCCGATGCCCGTTCCCCATCTTCGGCCAGGAACCCCAAAAAATGAACCTTCGCCTTCTCCAACTCTGCCTCCCTAACCTCTATCTCCGGAGACCCGAAACTGAAGTTGTCGCCTCCACATCACTGCCAAGCGACTAATTGATCGACAAGGCTCAGCCACCAAGACCTCTAGAGCATGGAGAAAGTTTCAGGTGATATCAAGCTTCACATGCTACCGTCATACGGACTCCTATACCATTGGATCTCAAATCCGACAGTATCCGAGGAGCTGATGTACCTACGCGTGATACGTCTCCAACGTATAAATAATTTTTAATTGTTTCATGCTATTATATTATCAATCTTGGATGTTTTATATACATTTACAAGTAACTTTATGTCATTTTTTGGGACTAACCTATTAACTTAGTGCCCAGTGCCAGTCGATATTTTTTGCTTGTTTTTGACTTCGCAGAATAGCAGTACCAAGCGAAGTCCAAATGCCATGAAACTTTTTGGAGATTTTTCTGGCAATAAGAGACCCTGGAAGCTTCTGGAGGGAACAAGAAGACAAAGGAGTGGCCCACTAAGCACCAGGGTGCGCCAGGGGCTTCTGGCGTGCCCTGGTGGGTAGTGGGGCCCACGAGCCTCCGTTTGACCTACCTCCACCTGTATAAATACCATAAAATCACAAAACCTACCGGGGAGTCCACGAAATATTTTTCCCGCCATCGCAAGTTCCAGAACCACGAGATCCCATCTAGAGGCCTTTTCCGGCACTCTGCCAGAGGGGGAAACGATCACAGAGGGGTTCTTCATCATCTTTGCTGCCCCTTTGATGATGCGTGGATAGTTTACCACGGACCTATGGGTCCATAGTTAATAGCTAGATGGCTTATTCTCTCTTTTTATCTTCAATACAATGTTCTCCTCGGTGTTCTTGGAGATCTATTTGATGTAATGACTTTTTGCGGTGTGTTTGTCGGGATCCGATGAAATGTGAGTTTATGGTCAGATCTATCCATGAATATTATTTGAGTTTTCCCTAAACTCTTTTATGCATGATTATTATAGCCTCGTATTTCTTCTCTTATTTATTGATTTGGTTTGGCCAACTAGATTGATTTATCTTGCCATGGGACTTTGTGATGGCTTCGATCTTGCGGTGCTCAATCTCAGTGACAAAAAGAGACGTGGCACACATTATCGTTGCTATTAAGGGTAACAAGATGGGATTTATTTCATATGTGATTTTCTCTTGTCTACATCATGTCATCTTGCTTAAGGCGTTACCCCGTTCTTTCATGAACTTAATACACTAGATGCATGCTGGATAATGGTCGATGTGTGGAGCAATAGTAGTGAAAGCAAAATCGTTTCGGTCTACTTGTCTCGGACGTGATGCCTATATACACGATCATTGCCTTGGATATCATCATAATTATTTGCTTCTCTGTCAGTTGCCTAACAGTAATTTGTCTACTCGTCGTATGTTATTTTCTTGAGAGAAGCCTCTAGTGAAAACTATGCCCCGGGACTATTTTCTATCATATATTAAAACCAAAAATATCTTTTTGTAATTTTTTATTTGTATTTTTGTCAGATCTATCTATCCAAAAATCTGTTTTTTAATCTTGCTCATAACAGTTGAGGGATTGACAACTCATCTACACGTTGGGTTGCAAGTATTTGTTGTTTGTGTGTAGGTGTTGTTTACATAGTGTTGCTTGGTTCTCCTACTGAATTGATAACCTTGGTTTCATAACTGAGGGAACTACTTATCTCTACTGTACTGCATCATCCTTTCCTCTTCGAGAAAATCCCAATCACAAGTAGCAACACTCAATTTTAATACACTCTGGAAACTTCTTTGCAACATTTTCTAGAGCTCCCGAAACCATTGGATCTGAGATCCAACGACTCCCAAGAGGTCGTATCACAGTATCGCTAAGTCTAAGTATCACTTGATATTCCCCCTAGAGCATACAACAACGACAAACATGATGGCGTCTGTCTCTCCAGCTCACAACCAGCAGCGTCTGCGGGAACGAGTGCGACCTCCGATGGAGGTCACCAGCGCGGGCATGAGTGCCATGACCGCATGTATGCAGTGCAACACACACATACGCTGCACACGCACACAACGCATACACAATTGAATGTGCAATGGGGAACCTGTGTGCACGGGTAGCACCAATTGCTCTGGTGCACCAGATACATCCCCATGCATCGATTTTGGGCGTGGGTAATGGTTGTCCACACCTGTATTCGTCTAAATATTTCTTGTCTAAACTCGTACCAGTACCCGCACCTCAGGTTTCAAACGGTTCCCGGCTAGATGCGGGTAATACCCGCGGGTAAAAATACCCATCTCAGCCATCTTACCTATTTCATACTTCACCATGTGTTTTTCAGCATTTTCGCATATATGCGCAATATTTCAGCATGTATACTTTAAC